TATATATATATAGATATGTATATGTAGTTAATAAGTGAACAATAGCTCCCCACTTGCTTCGAAATAATGAACTCAATGCCCAAGCTGTCGACCACTAGTCGAAATCCCAAACCCTCCAAGACCAAACTTCCCATAAACCCTCAGGTTTAGGGTTTAGGGTTTAGGGTTTAGGGTTTAGGGTTTACTCAGCCCGCACGTCCCCACAAGCCCAGCTAGGTTTAGGGTTTTTAAGGAAAGTCAGAACTAAACTTGTCGAGGTGCCTGTCTGCGAAATCTGAGATATCCTCGCGACAATATCGAAGAGCGAGGGGTCAATGCTTGGGGCTAGCCGGGGTTTAAAAGGTCTATAGGGTTTTGGGTTTTGGGTTTAGGGGTTTCTAACGTCTAGTGACCAACTTACAGACTGCGAAGTTTGAAACCTTAGACCCTGAAGCCTTGTGCCCTCTCAAACTCATGACATATATCGAAGGTGAAGCCTGACAATGAAAACCTGCGATAAGCGCCAACAACCCCGAAACCAAAGACATGATCGTCCGAAGCCACAAACAGGGGAGGGTTCTGCCAAATCCAACACTAGCGCAAGCCTTAGGAGCTATAACAGGGTAGTGGGCCGCATTGGCTGCATATGGCTGATGATATAAACCCTGGAATACCCATAATAAGGAATATACCATAATTCCAAAGTTTAGGTTCTTTCAGGTCATGCAGGATTTATATCATCAGCAGTATCCTCGTAAAGTTATAAATGAATGAAGCATATTGACCTTCGAGTTGATGTGTCTATAGTTCAAAAGTTGGGGTACTATGAGGCCTGACCAGCTAGAAAAGGGTTTTGGGTATGTTCTACGAGAAGCTCGAAAGGAAACCTAGTACTGAGTACCAATGACTCCTTATATATTCCGTTCTTGCGACTTTAAAGTCTAGGCTTAGAGCTTCGGCTGCTTCGGCTTGTACAAGGCTGTACGCGATCCGCCACCAGGGAGCTTCCGACCGACTCGCGTAACCTACCAAGCCGATCCGTCTTTTGAGGCCCCCCACAAACAGAGAATCAATATTCCTTGAACCCTAAACCCCAAACCCTTGACCCTTAACCCTAAACCCTTAGCCCTGAACGCTTAACCCTAAACGCTTAACCCTTAATCCTAAACCCTTAATCCTAAACCTGTATATGGGGAGCCTCCAACTCATGGGTTTTAGCAGGCTAAATTCAAGTTTATCTTCACGGTGGAAAGCCAGCCGCTTCACCGATAGAGAGGGCCAACTCCACCTAAGCCAACACGAGACACTAAACCCTAAACCCTAAACTCTAAACCGGAGACGTCTACCCCAACCAGAGGGATGAAGCCAAGGAAGCAGCCACCCAAAGCGCTGGTCGGGAAGTCAGCATATCGTAGTTTAGGGTTTAGGTGTTAGGGGTTTAGGGTTTAGGGTTTAGGGTTTTAGGGTTTATAATATAGGTCGACTTGGGCAGAAGAGGGCCGGCAGACAGTAGTTTTGCCCTAGACCGTAACACGCAGGGTGGAAGTCCTCGACAAAAATGCCCAAGTCTAACCTAGTGCTCTGTTTGATACATAGGCAATCATGAGGCATTCATTCATGTAGATGACTGGGGATTCTCTTAAGTTCGCCCTCAACTAGCACTGAGGGTCTTAAAGTCTTAACCCCATCGATGACGCTGAACTTGAGGTTCCATAATCAAAACTCGAAACCCTCAAATCCTGAACCCTTAGTAGCCTTGGTAGGGTTTAGGGTTTAGGGTTTAGGGTTTAGGGTTTAGGGTAGCAAGCAGGAAACCCTAAACCCCCAACTCTCTAACCCCTACACCCTTCTCAAGACTTATCTCAAGAAGCTGTAAGCCCGAAACCACAAAGACCTTTCTCGCCAACAGAGTATTAAACCTTAAAACCTAACGACTTTTCGCAAACAAACGAAACCCTCAAACGAGTTTCTGGGTCCTATACAATACTAAACTAAACTGTCCGTTAGTAGAGACTTTTCTCGGAAAGGAGCCCTAAACCCAAAACCCTAAACCCTAAACCCCAAACACTAAACCCTACACCCTAAACCCTCAACCCGGAAAGGACCCTTTAAAGAGTTTCTGGGTCCTGGGTCTGACAGCCGCTCCGGCATGTCTTCGCCAAACTCGGCAGCTTTCACTTGCACCTGTTCCGGTAACAGGGTGTAATGTAGGGCTGAAGCCCTATTACCTACCCATAGGCCCCATAGTAGTTCCTTTTGGGGATTCCCTAATAGAATCCTAAATATAAGCCGCAAAAAGGAACTACAATGGGGCCTATGGGTACTTGGAGGATCATGGGACTTAGTAAGTAGGGTTATGACTCCTTTAATTGGGTTTATAAGTATAGTTACCTTAGTTATAACCCTACTTACTAAGTCCCATGATCCTTTAAGTAACAGGGTGTAATGTAGGGGCCTTAATAATTAGAATAGGGTTTCATAGAGCTCCTGTACATGCCGTTCTCATTAGGGTTTAGGGTTTAGGGGTTTAGGGGTTTAGGGGTTTAGAGGTTTAGGGGTTTAGGGTTTTAGGGTTAGGGGTTATAGGGGTCAGGGGTCATAGATGTTGCAATGTCACGAGGATGACTTCCTTGCAGCCTCGAGAGCTCGGACTTCCGTCATAAAAGCGAGTATGCCGACCTCGCCATGCTGCAGCTGCGTGCGTTGGACTTCTAAACCATGATCGTGTAGACAACATTCAAGTTGAACTCGAAATTCAAAGTCGAACCAATAACCGTTTATGCGTGTTGGGCCATTATTCTACCTACTGTTGGGGGGTTTCGGTAAACTCTGAACTCTAAATCTGTGAGCCCGCCACGGCCCCGCATTCAGCAAAAATCTTAAGGACCCTCGGGGGGGTAGGGGGGAGGGGGTGGGGAGACCTTAATACAAGTAATAAGGACCTAGTAAGGCCTATGTAAGGAAGCATCGTCTCCTAACCCCCTCCCCCTTACCCCGCTAAGGATCCCTATGAGAAAAAATACCGGAGACCTTCAATACACACTTCATTCAGACCTTGGCCCACCGGGTCGCATAACCCCGAACACTACACACGAAAAGAGTTTAATATAGGGGGTCTTACTTAACAAGTAGAATAGGGTTTTGGGGCACATTATAAATATAATTATAGCAAGGAACCACCCATAATCGTATTGGTAATTATTGAGGCCCTGCTACATTAATATAGGAGCCTCAATAATTACCAATATTAAGTAATCCTGTCTTCTAATTATTGAGGCCCCTACTACATTAGGGTCTTTGAGGGTTCCCCGGCCTGCCAGCAGGATTGCTGCCCAGTGAGGCACAAGAAAGCCATCACTTCCCGGCCCAGCAGTGCGTCACTTGGCGCGGTCCTTCGCTTAGCCCCCTGGGTCCCCTTCTTAAATTGAACTACCCATGAGTTTAGGGTTTAGGGTTGAGGGTTTAGTGCCAAACCTACTTCCTCTAACATCAACAGTGATGAATGATTGAAGCACTAGGGGCTCGGTGGGCTTTGCCGTTGCGTCTTTAAGGCTTAGAACCCAGGCTGAGGGCATAGGGGTTTGGGGTTTGGATTTAGGGTTTAGGGGTTGGGGCTTAGGATTCTTCAGGTGTTCCGGCGTCGGGTTTAGGCCCAGCTTAGGCATTGGGGTTGAGGGTTTAGGGTTTAGGGGTTTAGGGTTTAGGGTTTAGGCCCAGCTCAGGCATTGGGATTCAGGTGTTCAGGGGTCCAGGGTTTAGGGTGTAGAGTTTGGCTTGCTTTGGGGTTCGAGGCCTTTGGGTCTGAAAGCTTGGGGCGTCTATTGGAGGCTCGACGCTTTGCCTATCCAAGTCACCTGCAGCGCCAAGCCCAGTAACCCTAAACCCTAAACCCTAAACCCTAACCTTAGTGGGTTCCTTTAAGGGCTCTTTCAAAAGGGGTCTATGGGCTAAACAAACCCTCAAGGTTAAAAAAGGCTTACTATATGGGCTGCAAAAAGGGATGAGCACCTTTGCAGCAAGTCCCTTGTATTGTTTGGGTAAGTATCCCCCAAATAGGTACTTAGGATCCTTTGACTGTAGCCACGCTGCAGATCTTGACCACGCACACCTCGGCTGACGCAGAGTCTGGGGCTTTGCTTTGAGAAGCCTGGAGAGTTTAATAGGCATGCTACGGAGCTTTATCGCGCTTCTACAACTTTGCTTATAGTGTTTGGTGGAAGTCCAGATACCCCCAAAAGAAGCAAACTCGGTCCCAAATACTAGGCGATGAGTGATTGTTGGTGCAATCTGGACATCCGGACCCCGGGGGTGGAGGGTTGAACCCGAGCTTTAAGCCCTGAGTCCTGAAGCCAAAGGCCCTCACGATGAAAATCCTGCATCGTATGCGACATAGCTTGGTTACCACCATGAACCCTAAATAGGCCCTAAACTCTGAACCCTAAACCGTAAACCCTAAACCTTAATCCCTAAACCCTAAACCCAAGCCCTCTAAATCCCAAAACTGCTCCAACCACCGCAGCCCAATAACTAAGTGCTTGGGGGGTCGTGGTTTCACGGAGTACTTGAGCTTTAGGCACTTGGAACATGACATTCGGTGAACATGCGGCCCTGAACTTGATTGTTGCAACCTTCCAGATCAATGTTTCTGAACCCTAACGCGATCCCGTCTCCAACGCCTGGTTTGTGACTGTCGTGCGGAAAGGCTTTGGGTACAATTGCTGAAAACCTAGGCGCCTACTCCAGCTGTGGATCGTGTGAGATGAGACATTGGATTCGTCAACACCGCGGATTTTAACATCTAATATCGGGGCCTCAATAATTAATTACCTATGCTATTTGGGGGGGCTCCTTACTATACTTATAGTATACTATACACCAAGATTACTAAGGCCCCTACATTAGGAAGGCAGGTCGATCTAAGGACTTTAGGAGGACCCCTAATAGGGACCCTTAATCCCATTACCTTAGATAGCCATTGTATAGTCCTTATATACCCCTCATATAGCCAGGTAGTCTCCATATTAACACCAATAACCTACAAAGGTCCCTACTAAGGGTCCCTCCTAAAGCCCTTAGAGTCGAGCTGGAGTCTGCATTGTATCGGTAAGGAAACACACCCTGCCTTGGCAAAAGCATCTCTTCACCCGCAGCCCCTGGACCCTAAACCCAATTATAATGTGGTTAAGCCTCTAAAGTAGAATCCCTTTTAGGTCCCAAATATAGTACGGCACCCTTATAAAATAAAAAAGACCCCATAAAAGGGACCCTAATTTAGAGAACTACCCATGTGGCTAACTGTTAAAACCATGGTCCCTTTGGGGAACCCTATATAATTCTACTCTTAACACGGCACCCTATAGTTTGGGAACCCGAACGAGACCCTAATTTGGACAACGGCGCATGTATGACTGTTCTATGCTAAAGATTGAAGATATACCCTAAGGCTCATGGCCCTCCATAGTGAAAGCCCAAACCTTAGCCCCCAAAGCCCAAACCTTCCCCTAGAAAGCCCATGACAGCAATAAGAGCCTTAGTGTAGGGTTTAGGTTTAGGGTTTAGGGTTTATAGGGTTTAGGGATTGAAAAAACCCAGCATACTCTGTGGAAGGCACTGAAGCATTCGGGGCAAGGGGTTTCCGCGTCCGGCTCTCAGAGCCAGGGTTCCTTTACCTAAAGCGTTTAGGGTTCAGGGTTTAGGGTTTAGGGTTTAGGCCCTAAGCACCAACATCGCAGATGCTTTGAAAATTGTATTTGTTAGACTTCCTAGGTCACGCGATCGTTTGGGGCCTGCAAGAAACATCTCGGCTGATGTTCGGGATACGTCCCATCCCAACCCTAGCTTATATACTATAGTGGTGACGAAGCATGCGGAACAAGCGCTGTGACCCCTGACCCTACGCCCTTAAATCCTAAGGTCCTGAAACCTGGCAACCTGATAAAGACTCGACCCTAAACCCTAAACCCTAAACCCTAAACCCTAAAACCACTAAAGGTTCTTGTCTCAAGCCGGCTTTCATTTTAGATTAATACCTCGATAGCAGGATGAACCTTCGCCACTTTCGCTTGGACAGTTTGCCTGTCGAATGTACCAGTCATCTCTTCAGACGGTGGAGGGCCGAAACATCTCTAGCAGCATCGTTGCAGGCCACGGATTCATCGAGTTGCGTTGCTTCCACCTCACGCATGGAGTACTTACCAGCAAATCCCGGCGCACGTTACGTTTCCTTCGGAAAGGCGCTCCATGGCGAAAACTCCAACAAAGCGAAAGCATCACCTGTGATACTTGGAGCCTGGGCTAGCATCCACGAAAGGCCAATGGCCCAAGTCGAAAACATCCACGTGATCGTCGTCATAAATGTCCGCCCATGCAAATGTCCGCCCATGCCAAAACCCCTAAACCCTAAGAACCATTACCTGGACCCGTACCTGGAGAAGCCTAAATTTGAGGGCGAAGGGGAAGTCAGGATAAGGAACTTGCGGGATGTAGGTTATTTGGGGTCCAGGTGCGGTTTAAAACCAACAGGCATGCTTTATCGAAAGACCACCAAACCCGAAACCCTAAACACTAAACACCAAACCCTATAAACCCTATACTAAACCCTAAACCCCAAA